CAGCTACGGAGTAGTTACAATCACACTTCCCATCGCCTACATAATTCCCATTATTAATGACTTTTTCTCCCCCCCGGCACTATCGCTGGGTATCAAAACTCAATTATTTGCTGGGTGATCCACCTTTCACTGCTTTGCTACTATTCTTTGATCGTAGATACACCTGCTGCCTCCGTCCGCTCTTTTCACTGGTCAGCCAAGGGTTTCCGCCCAGCGATCAGCAGCATTTGTCCACTTCATCCTCAGGCACCTTCCCTCCGCGCATCTCAGGCATTCATACGCCGCATGCAATAATAATTGGTTGGGAAGACCAAAAGCAATTCAAGCCCAAGCCACAATCAGACACCCACACAACATTCTGCGAAGTATCTGGCAGGACCACATGATACCCTCTCACTCTGTCCAGTTGACCCCACATCGTCGCGGATCCATTCTCTCCTAGCGAGGTGGATTTGGATGCTTTGTCGGTGCTGAATTTTCTCCTCGCAAAAGAGCCCAATGCCCTTCGCAAGAACTATTTCCCTGACTCCATCGGAACCCATAAGGCTGAATTTTGCTCTGCTCGGACGGACCCAGTTGCCAGTTATGGAGAAGCTGTCTCCCTTTTTATTTTTATTTTTATTTTTATTTTTATTTTTTTTTTTTTTGTCCAGTGGGTAATTAATCATAATAATGAGGACGAGACTTTGGCCAGTAGACAGGGACCCTAAGTAAGTACTCGGAGGTTTTCTCTTCCACTTGGAGGTTTTTAACTCCGAATGTGCCGCTGCCTTCACTGGGAAGATAGATAGTTAGGTAGGTCAGGATGAGAGAGAGATAGTAATAGCAGCACCTTAACCACATATATCCGAACTGAAACTTAGTCTCTCTTGGCTCATTATGGCTAATACTTACTTACTTAAGTGAGTAAACATAAAACATCCAGAACAATGGTATGGTCGTTCTATTGATATTCTTATTTTCCGTGATTGGACACCCACAAGGTAGATAGATAGTAAGTAGTAGAGAGGTACGCACTACCTACTGAACCCATATCCTCACTACCACCACATAAGTACCTTCTACTTACAATCACGGATACCGATCAACAACTTAGCACCTGTTATTATAATGTATGTGTATACCCGTCCCGACTCAGCCCCCGGTGAATCTGGATAATCTGCAATATGCATGCTAGGCCATTCCACTCCGTAAGTACTTAGCCCGCCGTCGGCTCGGCACACTTCCTCTTACAAAGATAACTATAGCTAGCACACATATTCTCCATAGCAGATACATACTTAGTATGTTAGTATGCAGAGCCAAGCCCAGTTATCTTCATTCCCTTTTCGGTAGTTGTTTCATCCTACATATCATCCTCATCCACCCGCCTAGCTATTGACAAAGTACTGCCGACTTGGCGGTGCTGTGATTGCGTACTGCTCCGACGGAGGAGCATAGTTCAGTTTCGCTTGGCTTGGATTGAGGAAAATGGTTTCGGACTTCGGCAAATGGATGGATGTATGCATGCTGATCTATTCAGTATTGATGTTTGTTAGTATTTGCTTTTTGGGTTGAGTTGATTTAGTTGTTGAGGCATTGGAAACTGAATGGGAGGGAGTGTGGGTATTTATGATTCATCCTATCTCTAAAGTCATTACGGTGTAGCATTATCTGTCAAGCGATGAAATAACTAAGTAATATATAGACACTGCCCCTCCGGACTCTGTACTTTATGAGCTGTAACAAACACACCACAGACAAGTGGCCGCTCGGCTAACTGCCTACCTGCCGAGACTTAGTACCTAGTTACTACGGAGTACTTACTAACCAGCTCCAGCTCACTAACCACACCAGCCACACAACTCCTCTCCTCAAACCCAGCCACCTAAATGACCACCCCAGCCTCGCTCACCGCCTCGCCCAGTCAGTCGCCCACGTCATGTGAAAGCCACGTGAACCCTCTACCTCGATGACTCTCCGTGGGGTGACCTGCTGCTACCTACCTACCTATCTTTCTTTTTTCTATTCCCACTGACAAGAACTCCCACGCCCATACCCCTCGCTCCTCCTATTGATATAGTCTGTTGCTGCAAATCATTTACCTATCACATTATCACACACGCAGAAGTTACTCGTCATCATGGTATGTCACATACCTAACCAAGCCTCGTCCGTCCCCGGCCGGGTTGTTCTACGGAAGAGACGAGGATATGGGATAGATAGGGTATAGAATATGGGATATACTAATATATTCTTGTGCACATTCAGCTCGGACGTCTTAGCCACTACGCTTTCGATGCGGTTCTTAGTACGTACCCTTATTATTATTTTTCTTTCTGTTTAAGTTGGGGTTTGGAGCTGACCTGTTTCGCAATCTAGTCTCGGCCTTCCTGGCTGGCGTCAAGCGCTCGACTGGATTAACGTAAATACTACGCCCCATTTCTACGCTATCATCCATTCTATCCGAGGGTCAGGAAACTAATCAGTTCATCCCGCGCTCATCCCCCCGTCTTGGGGGTAATCGCGTGGGGTATTTCACAGCCCCAGTCTCAACTCCGACAAAATCACCGATAACAAGGACTTCAAGAAGTGGATCGACAACTACCTGGGTGTGGGTGAGTGGGTGATGGATCAGTCTGTGGCTGTGTTGGGTTCGACTAGCTACTTCGAGCGCAAGCGGTAGATCTACTACTACTACTACTACATCTCAACTACCGATCGCATCGCTTTTCCTATGTCGGAGTCGCCGGTCGGCTTACGAATGAATTGAATGGATCTCTTGTGGGGTGGGCATCTATATGTGATTTGCCTGGGTTAGGCGAATGCACTACTAGGTGAAACTGCGAGTTTCTGGCTGGAGGAGAGAAGGCGGGATAAGACAAGAAGGATAACAATCCCGTCGCGGCTGGGGTATTATTCTGGAGTTGGGAGGGATCGTTGCTCATGATTGATGATGGCATTTCGGCTCGTGTTTGAGTAGCGCAAGTCATGGCGTTGGGTATTTTGCGTTGGCTGTACACCTTGATCCATGCTCCAATGGCAATTTCCTCTGGAACATTCGCATCTCTCCTCGATACGCCTGTTTGTACATAGGTTCCCTGTGGAGGGACAACTCATCTATCTCTGCTCTCCGCTGTTAGCCAAACAACGGCCCGGACTACCCATCGAGGTTGCTCCCGGTGTTTTCTTATCCACCACTACAGTCACCGTGTGCAGGTCACTGACTAGCCATGAGGTTATACAAGAGTATCCGGTTTCAGGAGTCCAATTCATTTCAATATGGTAACCTCCGTAGAGCCCGCCTTTGGGCCGCGAGTGTGGTCTCGCAATAACAGATGCGCCAAAGTGAAAGATTGGTTGTCACATGTAAGCCCGTGTGGGTCTATCATAGCACATGTGTACTCGCTAGAAAGTTTAACGTCAAAAGCGTCCGCGCATGTCAAAGCATAATCGCCAAAATAGGAGCCCGGGTCATATTCTGGAAGCACCGTGGGGTATGGAATGAGTGACGTGATTCGTTCAATCGTAACTTTCGTACTATGTATTCATCGAAACCTATGTCCGGAGTAATGCATCGATGTCCAGACGACGGTAATAGGAGATATGGCCCATAGTTTCCCAATAGTGCGCCACGCACTCTGGCGAAATCAAAATGAGTTGGGATGCGATAAACGTATCTAAAAACCAGGTCAGTATGCAAAGCGAGATGCCCGGCCACTTTTCCGATCAAACTTACCATCTCTGAAACCGAGGCCCGCTACATGGCCTTTGCTCCTTACTATGCGTGCTCCTTGAAAGAGAGCTTCCTCCGCAATGCGAACAAATCCTCCTGGACCAATGTCATCTGCTGAGAATGATATTTCGCCACGAGGAACGTTAGGGTCTCCAGTGAGCTTGATAGCCTCAAGGCTGCATCGCCCTTCCCCTTGGTCACGTTGTAGGAAAAGCAGAAATTCACATCCATGTGCTGAGTAGTCTCCAACCCAAATGCCTTGGTATGGTTTCTTGTCCGTAGGCGTATACAGCTCCGGGTCAAGTGTAGCATAAGTCGACAGCGTCTCACTCCGGCCAGCGGTGAAGATCGGCATGCCCAATCGGAAATGTGCCCATCTTCTAATACGAAACGCATGCTCAGAAATTCTGTCCAGCTGTGGGGGGTGGCGTTCCCACTCCGGGTCAACTTCACCGCGATAGACGCGGTGTTTGGTTGGAATGGTTATTGGAGGCCATTGTTTGTTCGCCACAACATCAGACGTCATTCGGGTGGAACAAAGCGAAAACGAGTTGAAGACATGCTGCGTCTCGAGGGGCATAGGCATGCGGGTCTCACCGTGTAAATATAACGGCCGTCCCTCGTGGTGGTTCTTAAGGAGCAGGACTGGATCGTCTAGCCACAGACTGACTTTAGGATTGAACGTTTGAATAATAACATCTGGGTTCCAGTCCCAAAGTTGAAATTGGTGCGAGCGACGTTCTGCGATGACTCGGTAAGCCTCTATGACGCCCCGTCGGTGATCATAGCGGGCGAGAATTAAATTGCCCGTGTGCTCAGTGTCTGCAAACCAGATTTTGTTGCGAGGAATAAACCAGCAAGGATGGTGGGCGATGTAGAGACTGCGAAAGGAGTCAAAGACACCTGGTGTGTGTATGGGCTCGGGAAGATTGGAGTTGATGATATTGGCCCACAAAAGCTCGTTGGTCGCATGCTCAGCGAAAGTGCGGCAGGTGGTTGACAGGCGAGCGAGATCTTGAGCCGATAAATATGACAGTATTTGCTGGACTAGCTCAGGGGGAAGCTCTAAAAATGGAGCGCTGAATTCCCTGGGGTTGTTGGAAGTTGTTTCCGATAAAGACGTCTGGGGATCGTCGTCCATCTCCGCGGGTGCCTGTTTCCGTTCCTCCCAGGCCGGCTGATTCACAAGCGCAGCAGTCATCACGAGTCTCTTGAATGGACTGAAAGCCGAGAAGCCAAGGGTGACAGGTGCAGCAGCAGATGATCTGCCAGATAGCGCTCGGAATAATTGAGTTGGCCGTGAGCACAAGAGCAGGGGAGATAAAGTAGTCAAGGAAGCAAGTGGTTGACGATCTGCATACTAGTAAGTTAGCTTCCACTGGATTAGCGAGGGGAAGGCAAGTCCAGCTGGCCGCCCGCATGACATCACCCTTGCAGCCGCCTCGATCACCTCATCAACGGAGCTGTCCAGCCAAAGTCTAAATAAAAGGGCGGTGCATCCCTGCGAACATTGTGCAAAGCACGGGATAACCAGTGTGCGGTGGTGTTGCTGGGTGATTCTGCATTTGATCGCATCTGCTCGCAGGAGACTTCCCAGTTGTGGTGGTGGGCAGCCGGCAGTAAGAGAAGTTGAGTTGAGGGGAAAACGCCAATCTGGCGCTCGTCACGGGGATGGCGATAAGATACGGAAACAATGTCTTTCATTGGCTGGTCACACAGCAGAAACAATACTCCTTGTCTTTTCCTTATTCCATACTACATACGAAGGAGGTAATATCCGGATAGCTCGATAATCCCGTATTGATCATGATTTGAAATACTCACAAAACAAAGTACAGCGCCTGAAATGCAAGGCAGCGGGGGCAGTCAGGTGACTGGCGCAAGGGTGGGTTTGTTTACGCGTTCCCAATCGGGCAATGGCCCTGTCCTTCAACGCGTCAGGAAGGCACGATGGGCCCTTGCCTATTCGGGAAAAATCACAATACTCCAGGTCCCGTGGTGATTGCCGTCAACTGTTGTTCCGAACTACCATCATTATTACTACTGCTCTATATATCTATTGGTTTGTTTCACGGCCCTATAGCATCATTATTGTCTAAGCCAAGTGTCACAACCATACCTTTCTCATCCCCAGAAAAACAAAGCAGGGGCTGAGATCGTGCGACATTTGACTCACCCAAGTCAGGTCGATACACAATCGCCATGGACACGAGACAGGCGAAACGAAAGAGACAAAACAGCTCTTCATCCAGTCAAAAGCCTCAAGAGGCTCAAGAGCCTCCCACGCCGGTCTCGATCAGAAGAACTCGTCGAACCGAGTATTATATTACCTCCGCCACCTCTTGCGAGACCCCTCATCAGAGTAAAAAGGTTCGCTTCTCAGACCCGGGTCCTGGGCGGCAACATGGTTCTGCCCACTCAACAGGCCTTACTCCGGCCATGTTGCGGTCTTCCTTCGAAGAACGAGCAGAAGATGACCCGTTGATTCGGAGCCCAAGCCGTCGCCAACGACGGCGCTCAACCCCTCTTCCGCGGTCTCGCCGCAGTATGGACGCTCCTGATGCTGCCAGTACAGCCTTCCCAGAGCATGTAGTGCAGTTCACACCGTTGCGACAACTTCTAGACGCGCGCACGAAACGAAGAATCCGGCGGATTGGGCTAAGTGATGAGATCAACCATCTAGAGCGCGAGAAGAGGGAATCCGCCCAGTACGAGAAGACACTCCAGTCGCTACTACGCGAACGAGATTCGTTGAAGAATGAACTGGATTCGGTCAAAAGAAACCAAGACGTATCCAAGAGTCTAGCAACCAGCGAAGAAACCACATGGCTATCGCCACAATCCATGATTGAACAGGTATCGTCAGAGAATGTCCGATTAAGGGAACAGCTTTCGTTCCCTTCGCCGGGTGCCACAACAGACCATGATACCATCAGCAATTCCGAGGGAGAAACAATGGTGATCAATGAGAGTGCATGGGATTGTGATACAATGCTTATATCAAACTCGCCGGATATTCGGGCCTTAGATGCCCGGCTTTCAGTGCCTGATAATATTTCACTTCTGAGCCAAGGACATGCGAATACTGATGCATCGACTCAGGCATCCATACCTGACCACAGGCAAGAGGCGGAGATCATTGCGCTTTCAGCCGACCTCGCAGCTGCCAGGAAGGAGAAACGTGACTTATTTGAGGCATGTCGCGCCCGTGTCGCTTCGTTTGGCGGAACTGCAATTGAAGGTCTCCTTCGTCAGTCCTCTCCACCGCCGGACTTCCTGGATCAAGTCCTGCCTACCCTGACCCAGACACTGCGGCGTGCTTCTGACGCTGCCCAAGCACTGGACAACGTCAAGGAAGAATTGTCGGGTCTCGGATTTCCTGGGAATAACGCTGCGGAAATCATCTCTACAATGCGTGACCACTTTCGCGCCGCACGCCTTCAACTCGAACGAGCAGTTCCCGGCGAGACCGCCAATGCTAGCCTCAGTGATGGCAAAGCAACTCTGGGTGCATTAGTAAAGCGAGTTGAGGTGCTCGTCAAGAGCCTTGGAGACGAGCAGGAACGACTAGAAGGCTCCGTAGGCCGGGAGAACGCAATTCGGGGTCAGTTCGATACTCTGTTGGCTCGATACGAAGGTGCATCGAAGAAGATTCAAGACCTGGAAGAGTCTATTGCCTCATCCGCTGGAGACATGCTTCACACACGAATGCGTATGCAGGAGCTTGAACGCGAAGGAAAGGAACAAGCTGTCAGCATTCAGCGGCTGAGTGCTGCTCTCGACAAATACCACGAGGAAGTCAAAGGACTAGAGGCCCTGGTTACTGAATTGGAGGATGACAAGGCGAAGAATAACGAGTCACACAAACAGGAAGTGGACGAACTACAGCAAAAGCTGGAAGAGCAGGCCCGTTCCCTTCGTACTACCGAATCAACCGTTGTGGAGCGGGAAACTCGCATCCGGGAATTAGAAGAGGCCCTTCAACAGAATCGCACCCGCGTGTGTGACCTCGCAACCAAGATTGAGTCACTCGAGGCTGAGCGCCAGCAGACGATACAGGGTTTGGAGCAAGAAGCAAAGGAGGAGCAGCAACGCCTTGAACAAGAAGTGGGGTCGATGAATGTCCTCGTCTCGGAGCTCAACACGTCACTGGCGGAAGCCAAGTCAGATATTGACCGACTTCGCCGTAGTAACACTGGCTTGGAGGAGCAGCTGCGCCTGGAAGTTGAAGCAAGGGACAGTCTGCTGGATAAATGGGCTGCAGAGCAAGCGCGGTCGTTTGCCTTCATGAAGGAGACCGTCAATAATGAGCGACGGAAAGCCAGAGTACGCACTGCGAACTGGGAGCTGCGTTCGGACGAGATCCAATCATCAGATGGCCTGAATATCGGCAGCGAACCCATCACACCGGTCAGCATAACAAGATTTGTCGACGTGGAGGCTGGCCGGGGGAAGCATCGTAAGCGCCTGGATAGCGGGGTAGGAATACTCACCGACGATCTGGAGGATGCAGATGCTGGTCTCCTGCCAGAGTCGCTGCCTTCTGATCCCGCCGAGTTGTTGTAGTCTGTCTGGTACACGGGGAACCTTGGCACGTTGTTCGCTGTGCGTGGAAAAGTCTGCAATATATTTTGGTTAGCTATGCATGTTATTCGAAGAGTCTACTAGGTCATGTACATCAAGCATTGGACATAATGAAATGATTTGATAGTTATCTGTTGTGCTTCTGTAATAGCGAACGAGGCCAGTATTGGTATCACAGCGTGTGACCCAACTTGAAGGTGTGCCAGAGTTCATCAGGTCTACTTCGATCAACACTAATAAGGTCCCACTTTCAAAAGTGCTTCGATTTTGTGACACATCAAAGATACTTTTAACCAACACTTGCTTGCATATATGCAGATGCCGCAAGTACGTATGGTACCACCACACCTGGATCAGTTGCCTTTGATCTCGAACTAAGTCAGCAAGAGGCATTGACAGATACTCCTGGTGGTGCCGATAAGGCAAGCTCGCATTATGATACGTCTTCACGTAGAAAAACCAAGTTTCCTTGAATGCATCATTCTCACTTCGGAGCATGGTTACATTCTTGACTTCCGTCCGCATACTTTATCCAAATGAAAATTGCTTGAGAGACAGCCTTAGAACCAGCGCGTCGGTCTCACGCAGTACGGAGGCCTAGCCGAACTAACTACGTATAGCTTAAGCCTGGGCCTCAGCGGCCAACATGCACCTTGCTTTAATTTCTTTCTATTGATGAATATATTTCCGGATATCAGTGCATCTAATGGGAAAATGGCAGTGGTTGCAGCGGTCTGATGGCAGCTTGGGGTTTCCATGGTTGAGTCGGACTCCCTGCGTTATAAGGTTCATCCCGCGGGTGGGGGCGCTTTGATCTTTACTGAATTCTGGCACAGCTTCCCCGTCTCCCTTGTTTGCGTCAGGCCCTGCGGAATCCTTTTCTCTATACAAAGTACTATCGATTGATTGTTAATATTGTTAATATTTCTGAAGACAGGGTGACAACCGTGCCATGGGGACTGCAGTCAGCGGGGGGACCACAGCTGGGACTACTGCCATGTGTCATGTCCGAGGGAAAAGGGAGAGAGCGAGGAGGTCAGTGCATCCATACCCACCGGGGTAATTAAAGGAAAGCACTAACAGGCTAACAGCATCCTTTTGATTATTCCATGAATGCTCTAGAAGGACTAGAATGGCACTAGAGGGAAATTGGTCGCCGTTAGCATCCTCTCGAATCCATCCCTGATCCACCAGGGGTTTCCCAGGGAATGCGTCATCCAGGAACCTGTCCACGAACACAGCACCACTAGCTACACAGTAATTGCACCAACCATTGCGGGCTGACGGGGATGGAACTGGTTTTTGCCACCGGAAGGGGATGCAAGATCGGGGCCAGCATGTGAACTAAGGTTTGGGACAATCGGGGGATGCACGATCAAGGTTTCGCTAAAAATGTGTCGCAACTTGCAAGGAACTGCAAGCTGGCCTTTTAGGGGCGTGGGGGAAGGGAGACGATCGGGGGAGTGCAGGAGATTGCAGGAAAGTCCCGGCCAGTCGGGGCTCCATGGTGACCATGACCAACAGTCAACTGAACAGATGCTATGCTGTGTTGAGAGTGAGTAGAAAGAGAGGCACGGGGTTTCAGCTGGTAAGAGGACTGTTTCATCCCACCTCAGCAGTAGGATCAGCAGTAGCCATCATCAGTATTGACTGTGTATGAACATTTGCAAGGAGTTGGTGCCGATTATTCCGTCGATCGCAAAAGAAAGGAAGAGAGTCATTCCCTGGGGGGGAGGTCAATAGTGCCGGAGACTATCAGGCCAGGGGGAGGGAAGCACATCCACCAAAAGAAAGAGAGGGATTATTAGTTATTCTTGTTCATGATTATTGAATAATACGTAAGGCCATCCAGGCAGAGACCGTCGAGGAACCGAATCTGAGACGGAGCGCCATCAACTTGAAGCCGCGGATCCGACCCCTGAACCCGCTGCCTCAGGCGTCGGGGCCTCGTTGCTGTCTCTCTCCACTTTCTCTCTTTAGTTGGAAGTGACTCTCTCTCTCTCACTTCTTCTTCTTCTTCTCCTTCTCCCTCTTTTCTCTTGCTTTCCTCTCTCTCTTCCTCTCACCTACTCATCTCCATCCCCCCTGCCATTCATTCATCCTGATCACAGCTCTCACTCAATTCCCTCTTTGTCCACCATGGTTGTGTCCACCGCGGTTGCATTGTCTCACCTGCATTGACTTTGTTTACCCCCCACTACCGAACCACTGTTTGCCTCCCGCGTGTTGTTAACAAATTGGGCCTACTGTTTATCTCACGTCACCCCGTCCCTCCTCTTTCTGGGACGCGTTCATTCATCTTGTGAATGCCCTCCGATTCCTTCGCATCATCCGTGCGAAGCGCTGAATCCCCTCTTCGCATCTCTACCTCCGTCGATTCTCTGACCAACCCCTCGAGCTCCGATTCTCCCCTCCCCAGTCCCATCCGCCACGATCAATACCCTCTGCTGACCTCCCGCTTCCGCCACTTGTCGCCCAAACGAGCCGCCATCATGAACGAGACAGGCGGCCATCCTGGTGTGCGAAACCTTCTTGCTAGGTTCGAGAACAACCAGAGCAACACCACTTCCCCTCCCTCCCGCGGTCGATCTCCCGCTGGCTCCGAACATTCCGCCTCTGCTAGACCCTTGTCCAAGGTGCGCGCCAGCTTCATCGCTGTCGATGGGGCCACTCAGCCGAACCCTGTCGCAGGGCTTCGCAGTGTGAGTGGTCGCAGCGATAGCCCTGCTGCGCCGTCCCGGGTCAGGAGCTTCAATTCGGAGGATTTCGAGGGTGGCTTGAGAAGTCCGTTGTCTGTGTCACCAACCAGCAACGGCTTCCCTCAGAAGATCACCGAACAGCCAGTTGCGGCCTCGGAGACGCCACAGAATGATGTGCCTGAGAAGAGCGAACCTGCCCCGGTAGAGCCCGAAAAGCCCTCAGAAGAGGTCACTGGGGAGCCCCCTGCTCCGGCTGCTGCTCCTGTCCCAGCTTCTCCTGTAAAGGCCAGCAATGTCTCCCCCAAGCCGACCCCGACCAAGACAGTCGCCAAGCGACCATCCACTATCCAGGTGGGGAAGACGGCACCCAAGCCTGCTACCAAGTCGCCAGCGCAACCCCGTACGCCCACATCTCCTGCCAAACCCGAGGACAAGACTTCTCGGACCACGCGGGCTACCCGGCCGACGGCCACGAAGGCTGCGGCCCTCGAAGCCCCCAAAGTCGCACACAAGCCGAGCCGGACGTCCTTGAACACTGCGACGAAGCCCGTCACCAAACCTGCACGGCCCTCTATGCCTGCTCGTGACTTGACGAAGCCGACAGCCTCGACCGCATCTCGTACCGCCAAAGCTATCGCAGCCAATCCTACTCGCCCGGCTTCGACAACGGCTTCCACTTCGTCTACCGCCAAGAAGCCCACGACGACGTCTACGCTGACCCGCAAGCCGTCCACACTGAAGAGCTCGACTACTGCAACCCAGAAGCGCGCAATCACTCCTACCGCTTCCACCGTGCGCAAGCCGTCGTCTCGTCCCTCCCCTCCCAGCAACCCCGGGAACGAACGCCCTCACTCTCGTGTCAGCAACACGAGCTCCAAACCAGTTGACGAGGGATTTCTGGCTCGCATGATGCGCCCCACTGCTAGCTCTGCTAGTAAGACGCACGACAAGGTTGAGGTCAAGAGTCCCCCGCGGGCCACCAAGCCGGCCCGGGCGCCTAGACGAGTTCCCTCCAAGTTGGATACCCGTACTTCCCGTCCGACCAAGGTCGAGCAAGGCAAGCCGCTGGAGAAGCCTGCGCCTGAGGCGAAGGCTGAGGAGCCCGCCCAGGTTGTTTCTGAGGCCCCTGCCGTTCTGGAGAAGCCTGCTGAGATTGTCGAGAAAGCTCCCGCAAAGGAGCCTGTTCAGGAGCCTGTTCAAGAGCCTGTTCAAACATCTGTTGAGTCTGAAGCTGAAGCCGCTGCTCCCGTCGCGGAGGCTGCTCCCGAAGTAGATGCTCCCGCGGTTGCTGAAGTTGCTGCTACTGACCTTCCCGCGGTTGCTGAGACCGAGCCCGTTGCTGAGGTCCCCGTGCCGGCGGAGGAGCCGGCCATTGAAGTGCCCGAGACCAAGGAAGCTACCGAGCCCGAAGCTCCCGCTGAGCAATCTACTGAGGCCCCTACTGAGGCCGTCGTCGAAGCTCCTGAGGCTGTCGAGGCCCAGTCGGGCGAGGTTGATGTTGACATGGGCAAGCTCTCTCTCAATTGACTTTCTGCAGAGCCTTGACCAGTTACAATAGATATTTTCTCTTCTCGTTTCTTTCTCGTGACATATCTTTTTATACCCTTGATAATCGTGATGCGACCAGGTACATATGCTTGTCTCCACGTGTTCTTGATACTGATTTTATTGTTGGGCTTTACCCTTCTTCTCTGCTTCTTGGCTTCTCTGTCTTCCACTCTGGTCTCGGGTTACCTTTCGGGATCTTTGGGTAGGAGAGCCCCTTGTTGACAGTCGAACAAGACCGACGACGTGCATGTCGGAGCATTGCAGGTGGAGTTGATTCGGATGTGATCTTAGCGATGTGTACGGAGTACTGCATCTTGCATAGAACTGGGTCCTCTGGCATATTCTTATCCTTGATTATTTTATGCTTTGGTGTAAATTATTGGTATTCAGTAAATGAATAGTTTTGTTAATCCTTGCATTACATCCCAGTATTCACGCAGCAGCATAACTTACCTATATCATTTTCAACCCTTCATGAGCAAACTAATAACCAACTCAGAACCAGCTACAGCTGCAACACCTATTCACCATTTCCCTCACAGTGCTCTAGACCGCACAGCTTATACCTTGGGAGAACAACGAGCACATATTTACTAATAATGCGCTCGCCTGCATACTACGCCCTTTGCCTGACAAATCGACAACCAATTAGTCCTAGTATGCATCCTTCGTCCCTGAAGGATAATTCTATTCCCTCCACCCTCAGGTAACTAACCTACCTTGGTTGACCCCAAAACCCAATCCAATCCGCTTCGGTCAAAATCAACTCACCATGTGATGGATAGCATCATTATCAGGCCACAAAGTAAGCATTCAGCTCGGAGAGGATTTCTAATCTGTACACACAGTAAGTAGTTCGCTAGTATCTATGGAGAACCCGGTGAAAGAACATGCTCACTATCGAATGCTGAGGTCAGAGTGGCATTCGCCGTGACTCACGGCATGACATAGCACGTGCCTGTACTTGTGGGTTCTAGACTGGATTATCTATAGTAGGCAATTACAACACCAGGAACAGGCAGTGAGCATCAGTAGTATATATAACCCATCATCTACCCTCTCTACCACCCACTCATCTGATCCTATCTCTCACACATTTACTATCGCCATTCACACATCCTTACCACCATCACAACTACAAATAATCTCCCAACGATGACAGGTACTTCATACTACTCCCCTTCCCCGCTCCCCACCATCCACCTCCACCTCCATCCCATTGACACTAACCAACAGCCACCATCTCAGACTCCTCTACCCCTTCCCCCCTCCGCATCGGCGTCCTCCTCTTCCCCGGCTTCCAAGCCCTCGACGTCCTCAACGTCCTCTCCTGGTCCCCAACCACCACTCCCCCCATCACCCTCTCCCTCCTCTCCACCACCCTCTCCCCCATTTCAACCCTGCCTCCCAATTTCCCGCATGCCCTATCCCAATCCATCCTGCCTACAGCCACTCTCTCCTCCTCGCCGCCTCTCGATGTCCTCATAATCCCCGGGGGCTGGGGTACTCGCGCCCCGCTCCCCGAATACACAGAGTATATTCGGACTGTCTACCCGACTCTTAAGTACCTGTTGACTGTGTGCACGGGTGGGAAGTTGGCTGCGAGGGCGGGGGTTCTGGATGGGAAGAGGGCGACTACGAATAAGAGTGATTGGGAGGGCGTGGTGAGGGATGCGCCGGGTGTGCAGTGGGTGAAGGAGGCGAGGTGGGTTGTTGATAAGAGTGATGTTGGGGGGGATGGGAAGGGGACTGAGGTGTGGAGTTCGGCTGGGGTGAGTGCCGGTGTTGATTTGATGTTTGCTTGGGTGGAGAGTATTTGGGGTGAGGAGGTCGCGGCGGGGGTGGAGAGGGTGTTGGAGTTTAGGAGATGGAGGGAGGGGGATGTGGATCCGTTTGTTAGGGATTAATTGTTGTATTATGTTAGGATTATGGGAGTGGATGTGAAGTTAAAGGTAGTAAGGTTATGGGCAATGACAATCTCCTCTTTGTTAAGTTATTGTATGTTGTGGTATGCATTGATTGAGGATATAAATAGATGAAGTGAACATATATGGAATGGAATGAATCGCTGTTAGATTGGAACGTGTAAACCGATCATATACTATGTAGAAGCATGCTAAACTCCGGCATGAACAGACCCTTAACCATAATATCACAAGAATTAGAATCTCAAGTTCGTTCCAGGGGGTGGCTACAGCCTCTTCTCCAACTTCTTCAAAAACCGATTCACCCCATGCTCCACTTTATACGCACTCTTCACAAAATACTGCGGCCGATGCGGATCCCCCGGCTTCACCATCGCCTCTTTGGCATACTTCTGATGCGGTGAGATCGACTCCTGTGCCGTCGGCTGATACAGTTGGTTATGAACGTTATACTCGTTCCCTGATACCGTGGCGCTGCGCTTCGGCCCCGGCTGCTCGTACGAGTAGTTCGAGTAACCACCTAGCGAGAGCTGCATCGGTGGGGTAGATGTCGATGATGAGTCGGTTGACGTTCTGTATATGCCGGGAGTCGGCCCTGCTCCTGCTCCTGCTCCGCCATAGAGGTGCGCATTAGGATCAGTGGGAGGAGGGGCGAAGGACATCTGTTGTTGCGGCTGCTGCTGCTGCTGCTGCTGCTGTGGTGGCCCTGGTAGTGACTGGTTTGTCCCCATGGGATGGCTGAGGCTCTCGCCTGATAGGAACGAGGCAGAATAGGAGGGTAGACCTGGGCTAGGTAGGGAGGTTGGGAACGAGGAGAGGCCAGCACTCGGGGGTCCAGGAGGCACGTAGTTTCCAGGCATGCTGTAGGGAGGGGCCGGCCCTGGTGGAGGTGGAGGGGCAGATAGACCTCTTGTTGCTGATGGTGCTGTTGCTGTAGCTGCTAACCCCTGGGGCATTTGGGAAGATTGAGGATAAGCAAGACCATTGTCGACAGCTGCAGCTGCAGCAAGGCCGGTCCCTGTCTCTGCGTCGTCTGGGGGAGGGGTCTTCTCTCGGTGTCTAATTGGCTCTGGTGCCGGGGGTGCAGCGGGATTGTAAGGTAGAGGGGCGGGAGTTGGTTCCGGCGGAGCATTATCCTGTTGTTCGCTGGCTACGGTCTGAATTCCAGGCATGACTGGCTGGGCAGTCGTAGCTAAGCCGCCCAGTGGAGGGGGAGGAGGGAGGTTGCTTGGTGGTGTGATGGCTTGGTAGCTAGGCACGGGGTTAGACACGACCTCGGCTTGAGAATTGCGAGTCTGTCCATTCTGATAGCCAGGATCGGTGATCGCTACATTTTCCAGTTGCTGTACAACAGAACTGACGGTGCTCTGGGGCGGAGGTGGGAAGGGGTGTCGGTCTGTCTCGATCTGCGACTGCGAGAGGTGCCGCTCGATCAGATCTAGGAACTGATTGACGTCCTCCGTCGTCCAAAAATAAATATCTAGGGTGTGCAGGCGGAACAGGGCTGGCGAGTCGTTACCAGGCAGTTGCCATTCGCTTGAAATGGCGCCTGGGGGCGGTGGAAACGCCGGTTGGCCTGGGGGTGGACTCGGCACCTGTCCGTCCACGGTCACAGTGCAGAGAGTCGGGAATTTAGTCGAATGTCGGAGATGGATGTTATCCAGAGCTACAGGCATTTAGCAATGAACCAGCACGATGAGAGAGGTAACTACTAACCGCCATTGAAGGCATCCTGCTCCGGAGTTCCTGGGTTGTTCGCGACCTCTATTCTAACCTTCTGCAGAGCGCTGTTGAGATAAAGGTATAGATAGCAGCCCTTATCAAACCGGTGATGGAGGGGCTTCGGGCATGGCGCTGCAAAGTAATAATGGATATCCGCAAAGCTACACGGCGGTTAGCAAACTCCAAGCAAACAGGTGTGATACAGCTGCAGCTGCTGAGAGATCTGCGGGGTAGCGCTACTCACACGGTTAGTATACGCTCTTCACCCGATAACGGAGGCATAATAGGCGATCAACGTCGATAAGGCCACCCGGGCGTGTTGAAGAAGAGAAGAAAAGAAGAAGAGTTCCGCGCGATGCGGGAATTGGGGGGGAAGACAGCGCCATGATTTATACCTGGACAAGAGGGGAATTCACACCGGCCTGTAAGATGCAGCGATGCAGCGTGATGCAGAAGCCCGGCGGCTACAGAGTGGCTGAGAGAGCTTCTGGCCGCTGATTCGTTGCCGCCGGAGATGTCACAAGAAATATTGCTGCCTGAGGCAGGAAGCCATGTCGGCGCCGCAATTACGTTACTCCGAAAATTTCATCTGAGCTTCCGCATCATCGGGGATTGTCTGCCAGCGGGACCTCAAATCCGACCATTGCTGCTGCTGTTCTAGATTGAATCGATAGAGATTCGACTATTCTCTAATTATCCCTCCGCGCCCGCCGCAACAGGTACAGCTACCCCTCCGCCCGCTCCAGTCATCGCGCAAGATTGCTTACTCCGACCCAGTCACTTTATCCCCGTCCTCCGCACACCACAGGCCCCCGGGCCAAACCTCCTCTCAAAATGTCTCTCGTCAACCTCGCCCACGTCTGCTCGCACCTGAACAATGCCTGCAAGGCCCGTCTAGGCCTCACCTCCATTCCCCATTCCAAGCTCCACCTGAAACTCGCCCTCGCGCTCCAAAACGACGGCTACATCTCCTCTGTCGTCCGCGGAGGCCCGACTCCTCCCCCTGTACACCCTATCCTCGGCAACCCGAACCCCATCGATGAGGTCGAAGGTATCGAACCCCTGACTCAAAGCAACATCGCTACCCGACGACTCTGGCTTGGCCTGAAGTACTGGCAGAGCGAGCCCGTGCTGGGCAAGTTGAGCCTGGTCAGCAAGCCGACACGACGAGTGACGATTGATGTGGCTGGTCTGCGTCGGGTAATCCGCGGTGAGCGGGATAACACTGTTGAGGGTATTCGCTCGCCTGGTGAGAGCTTGTATATCTCTACGGACCGGGGTATCTTGGAAGCTAGGGAATGTGTGGAGAAGAAGCTGGGTGGGTTGGTCTTGTGCCGTGTTCGCTAAGAACCTACACCGGGAAGGCTGGAAGATAGATGGATTACTTTTGATTCTTGTGGTTTTGCATTTATAGCGGAGTTTGGTCAGTCGAGCTGTGTCTCATCCCATGCTTTGTATGTTTTATGTCGCGACTTTGGGATGGATACCTTGTATAGTAACTAGGTGACTTCATGTACGATTTACCATTTTGAAGGCCTGTTTTTCTTATCTTTTGGTGCCGGCTACTAGGAACTATGGACTGCTGATGGCCATTGTAGGTGGTGGATCTAGTTGCATGTGATGTTCATCTTGCTAGTATGGCCTTTTGTTTACTGGGATTTCCATTTAAATATAATTCAACGAACCTCAACAACAAGCCAAACCACCGGGATTAAAACTCGATGATTGACTTGGGACGACCTTCTCGTATCCAGGCAAGGTTTCGTGCAAGTCTACAAGGATCGACCCCTCTACAAACTACTATGATGCTCTCAACAAGTTGCAGCAGGCCAGGTCATCTATCGACATACAGAACCACCCGGTAGTGTCCGACGGCATACTGCTCCGCTTGCGAGCACCTTGAAATCAGACCGTCCGATTATCATGATATGCTGCAGCGTCTTTACACCGACCTGCCCGATCCAGTAGATCGTGCTGATTGCATCCAGTAGTGTCTGCTGACAATATTCTGTTATCCATGTGCATGTGAGCTCCTTTCCATGGTCTCTTTTGCGGCGGTTGTCTCGCTTTGGCCGTTCATCGAATTAGTGGTATGGGGTAATGAAGCTGCCTTACGCATGGCTCAGCTGTCGTGGCGGCGCTGATATAAGCAACAGGTTCGGCATGCAATATTGACGAGTACGGAATATGTTGTTCCTGTTAGGACTCCTACAATCCCCGTTTAGTAGCCGATTCAATGGCGATTCTCAGTTTATACTTTCCTGTTGGTGCATGGACTCTGCTGCCATTGCCAACACCTAACCGTGCAATGGTAGGATGTCAGTCTTTCTAAATGTTAGTCATAGAATTCGAACCAAGTCCGATGCGCAGTGGGCTTAGATTGAGCCAGCGATGTTATCTCCGGGCTGTCCGGATCTTGACTTGAGATCACCATGACCCATTAATCTATCGTCAATTTACCAACGACATAGGTAGCAGGAATGCTGGTCAAGACGAAGGAGGCATGGTCTGGTAGGATTGTGAAACCACGGTGGGTAGGGCAGGACAGCCCAGGCGTTTGTGTCTGCCGAGATAATATCGGGTGAGCTTCGAAGCCATATCAGACGCCACGAATCATCCACACACTTTACTGGGGAGGTTACCTCAGCGACTTTCCGTTGGGTCGCAATGATGTACGCCAGACGCAACCCGGCAATGTCTCACAGCTTGTGCTGGATCAATCTAATCGAGTAATCGGTTTGATCCGTGAGAGGAGACCCTGGTTGCTTTGTCTTCTGGATTCTTCCTGTCCAAGGTTTCCCCCTATTTGCCTCGGTAGATTATTTGCCCAGATGGGGTCACTTAATGTACCCGGAATATGGGCAAATAGCCAAGGATCCCCTCAGTAGATCGGGGTGGTAAGTTTCAATGTTCATAGTCCACCATTCGTTCGAATGCTGTTTGCATGTCAGTGACCTCGTACGAAGAAGTAGTTCCATCGAGTCAGCGTCGGGAAAGGAGTATTGGCTGATACGGACGCCCTGAGTTTGGGCGACAGATCATGCAGCTATGTGTGCCCAACTCATCGAGGAGCAGTGACATTTCAGGCCCGGAACCTGAAGCTCCCCGCCCTGTGGATTCTCGACTTTAGGCCGCCATCCGTCCTTGACCGTGGTGCGTGCCCGCGATCCACTTCACAATATATACACACAAAATTTCTGTGGTAGCTGATTTGAACTGGGTCCTTCCCTCCAGCCTAGGCAGCCGTAGAGCAAATGTGAGTAGCTCGTCCTCGACAGTGGGGGTGGATCCGTAGATAGACAAGGGCTAGATGCCTACCAGTTGGAGCTTGAGATGACCGTACAAGCGCCAGACTATCGCGCGGTTCACCAGCACCATCGAGTAAAACGATATGCGCATAGCCAAAAGAACGATCTGGAGTGGAGTAAAATAATGACGGTAGATGCGGTAGCAGAATCCCGATGGGGAAACGAAGATCGGGTCTATTTTGGCCCTCGACGAGTGGACTCAGGCACCCAGGCCTGTCCCCGCCGTCCGCCCCGTGATTCGCAGTTTGCTTCTCTTTTCCACTGCAACCTCCGCTTCATCATCGTCCTTGGTCTTGTTCTCTTCTTCGTCCCTGTCCACAATTGGATCCCAACCAAGGCCCAGTCGATGTGGGTGGAGAGCATGGGACCATTGACACGGTGCCCAGTAACTTTATTCCCATTAACTTCCCCCCTCCCAGAAAAAGCCCCTTACCCGCACTGTTCCATCAGCAAATGGACTGACTGGCAATTGGGCCAAGGCCGTGAATAGTAGGTAATGGTCTCGTCCTTATGCCCAGCGGACGCAAGTTCCCTGCCGAGTCCTGCGGTTGCTGCCCAAAACCCTATGCAGCACCGGATCCTTCGACTCCTCATTTCCTTTCCTGACATGCGTGATTGAGGGCAAGATCAGCATACAGAAGTTGGCCATGTCCCGCTGGTGGAGTCTCGCTGCGATTTACTGCCGGGTCCATCCATGGCTATGTACCCCAGTATGCCTGGTGCAGCTCCACTGATTGCACGGAAGACTGGCAGGGCGTCTAGCTCCGGGAATTATTGTCTGGCTACTGCGCCGGCGGACTTCCTTATTGCTTTTCATCGTCCCTTGTTCTCCCGGACGTCTCTGGCTCAATCGATCCCCCTCAACCCTGTCGGCGAGGCACGGTGGAGACCTGACTCGATTGGCCCTGAAAGCAAGATGAATTTGTTGTTTTCCGTATAGTACGAGGTGTCTTCCGGCACGCGCTTCCTCCCTGACATGAGCGGAGCCCGGCCTTGAGCAATCCAGTCCTCTTGCCACTTATAGTGGAGTTCTTCATATCCCTTCCGGCTTGCCATATCTCACGCGGCCTTTGAAATTAAAAGCTTATCTGGTGCCGTGGACCGTCCACCCTCTTATTTTATTTTTTTTTGCCCACATTATCTGCTACTTTTACTATAATAAACGCCCCGTTCTACTCGCTGTCAGGCACCATTCTGAAAGGTCTGGACTGAACAGGCTGAGGTTACCTCGCCATCGTGTATACCCGTTCATTCTTCTATATAAATCATCAGCCTCATGTCCACGGTCCTTTCACCCTCATTGATCGCAATGTCTTCAGGCCTCAGTTACTTCTCAAGAGCATCCGGGAGCAGCGGCTCCTGCACACATTCCATCAGCAGTGATGATTCGTGGTCCCGCCACAGGTTAGCCCCAACGCAATATTCTCGTTAAACTCCTCTTGGTGGTGTCGTTGGGGGAAGCTCACCTTATACAGTGGCATCATGCCCCAACAACCGTCCGTATACGGGACTTCGGGCGAGGCGCCCGTGATCTACCATCCAAGGTACCTTGTCACTATCTTGTATCGACGTTGCTTCCTTTCTTTGCAGAATCTATCATGCTGAGACTCTCATGTTACTCATTCTTAGCGCTAGAAGGTTCTCCCCTCCGCAAATTGAGCGTGGACCTATAGATACTCAGGTTCCTGTCAAGCCCAACAAGCCAGTTTCATCGGACTTCGCCATGCCATACAGCGGACTTCCAGTGACCTCACATGCATTGGGAACAATTCCCGTGTCTGCAGGAGGCGCCTTGCCACGCCCCACAGCTCTCTACCCAGAGTGGGACCACCCTGCTCGCCTCCCAGCGGAGTCGCTCAGGCGTGATTACGACCTAGTCAGACCTTACGAGACGTCGGAGTACCTAATTGAAAGAAACAGCCGACGCGCAACGGAGAAGCCCAAAGGCGCTACTCGGTATCACTCGCAAAGACGGCCGTCTAATCGCGACGAGTTTGACGGACCCCACCAGTTGCTAGACCCTCCGTCACCGCGGGTCATAGCAGCCCAAGGGAGGGATTTGCCTCATCTACCTACTAATCTTGATGTCTCAGAGCAAGATCAAATTCTGACGTCAGTAAATGACCGACTGTCACAGTGCGCATTTGACTTTGTTGCAAAGTATCAATTTCCGATTCCACTGGAACCGGACAAGAGGCCGGTGAGAGTTCCTTCTGACCGCGAGTGGACCGAGTGGGTATATCTCCTAAAGAGACTGGCGACCAAGCGTCGCGTCCCAGCCCGGGTGTTGTATAATGGCCAGATCAAGCAGTTAGTGACCGTGCTGGAAAATTCCCTGGAGATGAGACATGCAGCCAAGCATCAGTCTCGGCCCATCAAAGATGATCGGAATGTCCTTCAGCTTATCTCAGCTGGCACACAGGTGGCCAAGATCCTTAAGGATGCCAATGCCATGGAATTCCTTGACCGCCTCTATCTTGATACAGAAAAACGCATCCATGATCGACGCAGCCGTCGAGTGAAATTTGCCAGCCCATGAACTAGGGTGGTTGCCAGCCTTTGCCTAAATTATGATGATGATTTGAATTATGGCCACACGATCCTGCCTTCCCATGGACCAAGCGCAGAATACCGCCATGCTCCTGTTTTTGTGGTTTACCCCCTCCGCACCCTCTGGACGGTCGTTCCCAGGAAGGAGACTTCCCAAGGAGAACAAATACAGTGCCCGTGGAATATCCGGATTACCCGTCCATTGTTTAAGCGGAACTGCGGACCTTTACCTTACCCTTACGGATGGATTGACTTTGTCCAAGCGTCCCACATATGGCCCCTGGATTTGGATTCCCCAGTATTACCGGATTGGCCGATTCGATGATCTCAGGCTATGACCTGCCGAGAATTTAAACAAATTTGGTTCAATAGATCCCCTTTGATTGGACGATGATGAAGTATGCCATGGTGATATTAGGGCTTCTTTTATGCCGTTATGGAGGTTTCTCTTGTGTTACTCGGGTTTATTTGTCTCTTTTTTTTATGTTGTTTGGATTTCCAACATCACATTACCTTTCGGCTTTAGATTATACTTTCGGTTCCGTTATATGTTTTGAACCTTATGCCTCGGTTTGGGTTGAAGATTTGTCTATTGACTATGTTTCTCATTCAATATCATGTTGTACAGCCTAGATTGGCTAATGTGGGTGGCTATTTGTTTTTGCATTGCGGTCAACTTTCGTTGATCTAGAGGTTACATGGCTGTTGGAATGTCATGTTTGTTGCGTTCTGTTGGCATTTCAGGCTGAATACTTTTGAAAATCTACGCTGGCTCAGTGCTTGGTCCACATTTGAATTGTCCACTAGCACTGATAAAGCGTTGTCAGCAGCCAGACTTTGTGTCTTTATCAGGGACATATACAAGTACTTTCTGGACTCTATGAAGCGGGAATACAGTGTTATTTTCACACCATAGAGCCATACAAGAATTTGCGGAGGAAATCGAGGCGGAAAGAAATGGGGCGACTGGAAGAATCCAGCGACAGGATCAGTACTAGTCTGTCAACCCCATGTTTGTCCAGAGAGGAAAGATGGGCCAGACGGGGACTCCTGGGTAAAGGGGTCCAAATTACCCCTAGTGCTGCTCCAGCAACCTATACCTCAGTCAAGATAGTCTTGCAACTGCCAAGCAGCTATCTCTCTTACTATCATCACTAACGAACTAGATACAACGCTAACCGCAATCTCCTCAAAAGGACCCATCATACTTGGCGTGCCATTTGACAGCTCTCTCCAAACACGTATGTAATACAACGCTACCAAACAAAACCACGAAAAATGGGAGAATCTCCGTCTGCTTGAAGCATCGGCACATTGATGCTTGAAGCTCACCGGTAAGCCTGAGAGTGGGATAACAGAGAAAGAAATGCGTTAGCCCGGAGTGAATTTCAAGAGCAGCCAACGGTCACTGGCCTTCATTCTGGAGTAACTTTCCTAGCCTAATAAGTATTTAGTAGTTAATATGTGTCAATTAGTCAGGTCTGTCACATAACTGTACTAACTGTTACACTAGAGCACAATGTTCTAGGAGTATCTTCTTTCAATCGTACTAACATATCCATACTACCAAAGTATCTTAATATGGTTACTGGAATGGATACCCATCAATTCTTATCTGATCACATCATCCTCGTGTCATGAAATGGATTCCTAGGTCATGAAGTACTAGTACCTTTAACTTGGTTTACTCAGTTCCTCCCAACCGAACATATATAACCAAACTTAGCACCTTCAATCGAGCTGTAGCTGTTACCATCAATCCAATTCACTAGCAACAGGCTCACCCAATCTATCTTATTAATCTTCTACTATTTTAGTTCCACTAAATAGTATCAACCTACCCCATCAACCCCGTCTACTAGTACTCACGCCCTTCCCTCTCCCCCTCCCCCTTCCCTACTATTGTATTCAATCCACCCCTCCACAAACCCCCAAATCCCAACCAACCCTTCCAACAACTCAACATCAGTACGTATCTCGCCCTCAGCGACATCAATCCACATCGACATCGCCACATCATCATCTAACCCAATATAATCATCCCTCATACGTTTAAGTTCAGTCTTAGTGCGCATCCTCAGCTTCTCACCGACACATACTACCTCATATCTCAACTGTAGATACCACAACGTACGGTAAACGCGATAGTCCTCGAACCATGAAGGAGGTCCCACGTCGTGCAGCTCGTACGGTGGTATGGGTTGGTAGTAGATATGAGGAGGGGGAGGAATCGTCTCTTCCTGTTAGACGTGTAGTGAAACAAATGGTGCTACTGACAGCTGGTTGTGAAGAGAACTGGCGTAGTTTGGTGGTTCTGTGGAAGTGGCGGCGGAGTTGAAGGGACATGGGGTATGTTTTTGAGGACAGTTTCGACGAGGCGGATGGCTTCGGGGTGGGCTTTTGATGATGTTCGTGCTGATCTTCGTGACTGTGTCTTTGGTGAGGTGCTGGGAGTTGATGGGGTGGTGAAGAGGCTGTGTAGTGGTGGGGAGATCCGTATGAGACTTTCGAGGGTGATCCAGTCTGCTGTGTAGTTAATGATTAGGCAGAGGAGCTCGTATGGAAGCTGGCTTAGTGGATCCATTTTGGGAGATGAAGGTGTGGGGTTGGTAATTGTCTTGTGAAGTGAAATAGATCACGATCAAAGATTGGAGGACAAGGTTCATATGACACAATCTAATCAGTCGAGCTGATAGTAACTTATTTACGTGCTTTTGGCGTCATTCTATGATTGCATGAAGCAGAAACTTGCGGCAAAAACATCAACTATACTTACACACGCTGTTTTATAACGCAGAACAACAATCCCAGAGAAGAGAAATACTTACAATTCCCTCAATTTCTTCCAAACATTGTCCTCCACACAGCTCCCAATGACAACCTCTCCGGCCACCTCATCAACACCCCAGCTCCAATCATCACCGACACCAGTACCGAGCTCAGCCCAGCGACACCTAACAACTTCCCCTGTCTCTTCACAGACGCAATCACCTCAGAATACCTCTGATTACTGAAACTCACCCGAGAATACTGTGTCTGCCATCCCAGACTCGGCACATAGTGATCCAGCGTCTCCTCCACCATCTTGCGCAGCTTATAAACCGGACTCTT